AAAAAAGACCTTATAAAACCAATGCACTACCTCTTCCGGCATAAAAAATGAATCCGTGCTTTGCAGCAGCTTGAAATACTGTGAAACAGGATCTCGAGAATACATTGGTCAAACAAGAGATATGAGGCACTTCTTCATACTTTCCCTAGGGTTCTATCCTGTCGATGGTTTGCAATATTTCCGTTCTTGTTCTTGGCCAAGCAACATTTCTCACAAGTCGAATTTTCTTGAAAGAATATGGCGAGTGACAAGTTTTTATATGGAGACCAATTTTATTTTGCATTGAACACCCTAAATTAAGCAGCAATTTTGCACATACGGGCAAGGGGCAAGATGAAACAGTTCTTCGAAGATTTCAAGAAAGCATTTGCCTCACACCATTTGTCTGCTCGTTTTTCTCAGGTCGATGAGGCATGTGACTGTGAGCGGAATAATTGTTCTTTAAGATGGCTAGGTGGTTTAACAACGTGGAAGGCATATTTCCTTTGTGCGCAGCGATGTTCGTGGATCACCTGGAAAGGATAGCATTCGGCGACGAATCGCACAGATTGCAATACTTTGTGTTGTCATAGCGCATGCAGTTTCGCGATCCGTTGGTAGGGCTGACTGTGGCTTGGGGGATTCTGAAAGGATGGATCCTCAGTTTCGTCCGTTTCTGTTCAAGTGGTTTCTTTTCTAGCCGTTGACAAACCAACGTCTTATCGCAAGGAAGAGGTGACATAGGCGGTGTTTTTCGTCTAAGGGTGGAGTCATTTTCTCCTCACCATGAAACTATCGTTAGGCACTGTGACTTTGTCTGAGGTACGAACTTGTCAACCTCAAAACCAACCACGAACTGCTAGTCTTATCGTTGCATTTTGCGACTGCTTATTTGTGCCGTTAGCCTTTATATCTGGAGGCCGTTCCCCCTATCCGCAACCTGGGTACGCGCTAGTTGCACAGCAGTTGGTACTGCGTTGCTTTTAGACATCGCTAAAAATCTGAATATGGGTAATTTACATGGTCGGAAAACAGCCTTGTCAAAAGGTTGTTTTCTTTTTCTAAGTTCTTTTCAGGGAGGTTCAGATCTATTGACATCTGAACCAATCAGAACTAAACAACTATGGCAGTAGTTTCACTAGATTTTGAGCGTGCAGCAGCTATTTCCTAGTTATCACGTTGAATTGTAGCAACGCTGTTAAAGTTTTAGTTTTGCGGGTGAATTTCTGCTAGCCTTCAATGTTGGCAGGCAATCAACGGTCTGAAATGACCAACCTTGGGAACCGCTGTTAAGCAGCTGTTGGAAATGTCCAGCCTATCCTTGAGGCGTACCACCAAAGCGTCTTTGATAGGACAGACCGAATCCTCTATTTACTTAGCAACTGTCCCACCTCTTTGAACACTGATCGTCACTCATCCTTTCTAGCTGCCTTGTAGATACTCCTGATTTCCCTCTTGCCAAAGTTCCCTGTCGAGTCTGTATCTCTGGTTTGAAAACATAACCGAGACGGCGATGGGTGGGCTGCGTTTTAGGATGCAATAGAGCATTGCACAACACATGTCATTGGAATTTT